CTCCCCAAGAGTGAGCTAGGCAGCAGCCTTTGGCAACCCCACTACTGGTGAGCCTTCACTGTGCACTCTGCAGCATAAAGCTTATTCTCTGCAATATAAAGTTGTATACTGCAGAGCCCGCAGCACATGTAACCACTATGATTTTCACCAGTTACATGGTTGCATTTTTAAATGCATTTTTACATCCATAGGGAGAAAGTGGAAAGATGTGGAGTCTCACCTGGAATGGCTCCTGGACACTGCTACCCTCCTGACCCTTACATCTTTCATACTGGTTTTCCACTTGTAGATTTAGTCTTTTGGCTATCATGTCTGATAAAATGCTCACACCCTGTATTTGAGAGGATGGGTTTACATCTTGGGAGTAGGTGAGCAGGAGAAAGATGGGGAAAATGTATCATGCAACAGAAAGTAACTGGACTAAAAGATTTTTGGGGAAGATGAAAGGAGAAAAAATACTGGAGAAGGAAAGAATACAACATAGGTAAAAAAGATAAGTTCATGGAAACAGGAGAAAGAAAAACTGAAGATAACTCAAGAAAATATTATCCAGATCCACCACAGGCCCAAAACCAAAACAAACCCCCAACTCCCTCCAAACAAACGCACATACCCCAAAGATAAGTTTAAACTGTGTTACAGAAAATATATTGACAATGTTATAGTTATATCTAACAGACCTATTTTATTCTTTTAAATCAAACAATGCATTATTGGATAGAAATTTTTCATTTTAATCAAATTTAGATTGCAGCTTAGGAAGTGTTCCATTTTTTTAAGCTCTTCTATAACATTCCTAGCCCATTTCTCCCTACATTCAAAACTTTAAAATAATTTACAAGTTTGCAAAAAGTGAGAACACACCAAATTCTCTACTATAGCTGGACATTACACTAACATTTCAAGTAGTGGATTTTGCAGTTTAAGTTTCAAATAATAGAGCAGATCCATTGAACTGGTAGAGGGACATGTAAGTTCTATATCCTTGTTTCAATTACAGGTTGAACCTCTCTACTCTGGCACCCTCGGGACCTGACCAGTGCTGAACCAGACAATTTGCCAGACCACAGGAGGTCACTCTTATCTAGCAGCATTACCAACACTTCCACTACTTACTGGGCTCTTAGAAGACATCTGGGGTAAATCAGAGCTAAACAACAGCACAGAACACTGAGAGCCAGGACTGGTAGCTATTAAACTTTATGGGACCCTGGGAAACCTGGCCACACCCATGGTAAGTGGATATCTGGTTAACCAAAATCATGCTGGACTACGGATGTCACTGGACCAGAGAGCGCTGGATTAGAGAGGTTCAACTTACAGAACTCTTCTGCTAAACAAAATGTATGGGTTTTGAACAAAGCAGAGTAGCTTTAATGCCCACTGAGGGCTTCAGAGGAACAAAGGTGCTAAGAAACTGAATACAGCCATCCCCTGGCCATGACTTCTTCAAAGCCAATGGAGCCTCTGCCTCCACAAAACAAGAGATCCATCCTCAACTTCCTGCTCAAACTTTCATTTCACTTCTGCACCACCAGAAGCAAGTGCAGACTGTGAGGGGAAATTAATTATTAGTTTCCAAATCTTTATTTTAGCTGTAAATTCACACTATTTTATTAAAAATTAGTGACTGGATGTTGATTAACAACTATTTGAATTATTTGGTCATCTTTCATACAAAATTATTTAAAGCAAGTAGATGGCCATGTATAATGCCTTATAATCAGACACTGGTCTCAGTATGTATTTAATACACAGAATTAAGCCCTCGAACTGGAACTTTATTTTACTATTTAGAGTAATTATGAAGAAATTTTAAATTACTTCTTGGATAAAGAAGTGTGGTTATCAGGGGCAGATGACTGTTTTGCAGGGCCCCGGGCAGCATAACTCCGCGGGGCCCCCCTTTGCCACGGCGCATGCGCAGGGCTTTTTTAAGTGCGGGGCCCGGGGTGGCCGCCCCGTTCACCCTGCCCTATATCCGCCCCTGGTGGTTATTACAGATACAATGCCCAATGGAATTAGGCACTTCTACTGCAATATGGCACTTCCCTGACGAGTTTATAATCTAATTTTAAATTATATTACTACTAGCAGATCAACCCATTGTTGCTGAGGTGTTTAACTCAAAAAAATGGTTGGTTGGAAGAGCCACATGATTTGGGGGGGGAGGGGAAGGACAGAGGGAATCCCCAGGCCCTGTGAGAAGGCACAGGTGTGAGAGAGTATAGGGGAGGGGTATGAGGGGAAATCGCCCTGTAGGAGACTTACAGCAGAGGGGGAATCTCAATGAACTTCTGTGGAGTGGCAGCGGGGAGAAATCCCCAAGTCCTGTAGCAGGGTGGGGAGTAATGCTCAGGTCCTATAGCTGGGGGAAGAGGAGAGGAATGGAGGGAGAAGAACCTTGCTTGTAAAAGGTGGCATAGCTGGCAACATGCAGTGCCTCATCCCTAACAGTCTTGTGCTGGTGTGACTGTCCCTAGTGCTCACTCTACAGTATCCTGTCCCCACTCTCTGCCCCCAGTGATTAGTTAGAAGGCATGACTTATTTGAAAGCAGCATAAAAAAAGATCACTAACAAATTAATCCTCATAAAGCATATATAATGAACTAGATTTTATATTTGTATTGTATATGTATCCTAAAAGTAGCTTCGTGGACCTAAATGTTTCCCTCATAACCAGGTCAAATCTGGAAGTCAGGCTGGGTTCTAGCCTTCTCACATACCACCATCATCATATGGTTTATGCAGGCCAGCAACACTTGTGGAGAGCAACTGCTTTCAATGCATTTCCATAGGTGTCCACAATTAGAATTTAACAAACAAGTCTTTTGATGCCCCAGAAAGAACAAAACCCCATTCCCTTTCTTAACAATACTCGTTCTCAAGGCTCAACAAATCCGTGTATCTACTCGCCCGGGGCGAGTAGATTTCAGCTGGTTGCCCCGTTCACCGGCGGTGTGTGCGCATGCCCAGTGCGGGTCTGACGCATGGATTTCACTGCAGTTTGTCGAGCCCTGCTCATTCTGCACAGCTAACAGCAATAAAAAACAGTAAACTAACTTAGTCACTAAATTCAGCTCTAAAAACACAAACTTTGCTGTTACTGTCATAAGGCATGACAATTTACAACCACAATAAGACAGAAAACAGAAAAACAACATTCGTAACAATATTTCCTGATATCTTATAGGGGAAAAAAAACCCACTGAGTTATAGCTAGCATATTACAGTCCTATGCATTGGTAAACTAGTTTGTTGATGAATGATCAAAGGATTACTACAATATTTCAAAAGGCAAATAACCTAAAATCATGTCTGGCTCAAAGATATATCTGCTTCTACATAGGGATGTAAAAAGGCGGTTATTTTACTGATCGAGTACAGTGTCTTCTCAACTTACGAACCAGTTACGGACCAAGCAATTGGTCGTAATTCAGTTCGTTCGTAAGTCAGACCCCATAGAGTTACATGCGACCATGCTGTTCTTAAGCGCGGATCGCGTTCGTAACTCAGGGTCCGCCATTTACAACAGCTTTGGTCGTAACTTCGAACGGTCGTAAGTCAACCGTTCGCAAGTCGGGGATCGGCTGTATAGTTGACGGAATTTTTAATCAACAATTCAATTAGTTGATAGAGGAAACCAACCAGCTCAGTTCTGGCTCGTTGTGGGACCAAACCCTGCTACGGCCCTGCAATTTAAAACACAGTGTGTGTGCGGGGGAGGCTGCCGGGCTTCTATTGCCTTTTAAATTGCAGAGCTACAGCAGAGTAGGCCCCTCAACGTGCAGGGCGGGGGGAGGAAAAGAGGGGAGGTGCAAGCAGCACCGTGCTGGGGAGAACCAGATTTTAAGCCAGCATCCCCCAGCACCAGCTCCTGCTTCTGCTTCCCCCACCCTTCCAGCCTCTGATATAGAGGGATAGGTCAGTGGTTTGAGCATTGGCCTGCTAAACCCAGGGTTGTGAGTTCAATCCTTGTGGAGGCCATTTAGGGATTTGGAGCAAAAATTTGTCAGGATGGTACTCGGTCCTGCTGTGAAGGCAGGGGACTGGACTCGATGACCTTTCAAGGTCCCTTCCAGTTCTAGGAGATAGGCAATCTCCATTAATAATTATTATAATTAGGGAGACGGGATGAAGTAGTTGACTCAACAACCAATTGACTACTCTTTTACATCTCTACTTCTAAGAAGTACGTCAATGAGACTGAGTGGAAGAAACAAAAATGTATGGGTTGGAGCTCCCTGGTCTGGCACCCTCAGAACCTGACCGATCCCAGATGAGGGATTTTGCCAAACCAGTGGAGGTCATTTCTATACCCCCGGCAGCTAGCCCACCTGGCCAGTCCACTGGGCAGCCATCACTGCCGTGGCTTCAGGACCCCTGGGGCAGGCACGCATGGTGAATCCCTGGTCCACTAAGCTACCACTGCCCTATTGGCCCACAGGGATCCAGGCTGCTGACCCTCCACCAGGATTCTCTGGTCCTGCAACATCCGTGGCCAGACCTTGGATGTTGCCAGACCAGAGAATGCCAGTTAAGAGAGTTTCAACTATAAGACTGTCTATAAGGCACCTTAAACCTTATTTCTTATTCTAAAACTATCTCCCCATTCTTCAGAGTATTTATTATGACATACTTCCTCCAGAAAGCCTTCTGGATAGTCCAGAAATAGAATAATTTAAAGGGTAAAACCTTCAGACATTCTAACACTTGTAGACTGAACTCCCAGTTGGTGCCTTGGTCTGCAAGACACTTGATTTATTTTACAATGCAAACCTCTCTCAGGTGGAACTCAACCCTCTCTCCCATAATCTTAAATAAATTATTTAACACATTGCCATTTTAAAAAGAATCACCAGGATTTCCCTTGCGTTTCTATGACAGATCTCCCATGCGGTCTTGATTTTTTTGCCCCATTCCTCAATTAACAGTCCAAAATGTTGATGCACCTTGGGCAATAAACTACTAAAGGACAGCTAAACCTGGAGCAGCATACCTAGTGCAGGGATCAGGCACAAAAACATTCTACCTGTTGAGAGGGTGGCAGAGTGAAGTCAGCTAGTGAGCCAGTTTGGCTTCATGAGTGTAGCACTTCTGAACTTGAACTCAGTAGAACTGCTTGAGTGTTGAAGACTCTGCAGAAGATGAAATTAAAAAAAAAGACAAAAGGGTGTCATTTTCTATTGTGAAGATGTCTCCCTAGACCACGGTCCTCTGAAGAGAGTTGTGTGCTTGCCCTATCAGGGACTGCACATAGGCTTGCATGACTAACATTTTACAAAATTCTATATTCCAAAAGGACAAATAAAACATTAGCTTTATTAATAAAGGGATAGGAGGACAAACTGATTTACCACCAAAGATGATAGGTTTTGCAACATTAGTCTAATGCCAGTTAGTAGACATGAGATTGCTGCTTCACAGATTTTAAGGCCAGAAGCATATGTTTATCTAGTCTGATCTCCTACATAACAACCCCTACTGATTTCACAAAGTGATTCCTACATCTAGTTCAAGAACTTGCATCTGGATAAGAACATATCTTTTAGTAAGACTTACAATCTTAGAATAAAAAATTCCAAATTATAAAGAATTTACCACCATTCATGTGTATAGGTTCCAAAGAGATTAATTACTCTGAATGTGTCTCATTTCAATTTCTAGATATTGGGCCTTGTTAAACATTTGTCTGCAGCACTGAAGAACCTTAAAACCTTCTTTGCCCTAAATATGCATGTAACCATGTACTGCGAGTAGCTTTAGAGGATATGGAACACAGGGAAGGTAAAAAACAAAGGGGAAAATGTTTCTTTTTAAGACAGTACCTCTCTCAGAAAAAACAATCCATAGGTGAATAAATAAGGCTCAGAGAAGGATCAAAATCTGACCTAAAGGAGGAATAAAACAGAACCCCCTTCTAGAACTTCTACCATTATTCCTTTCCCTTTTTCTTTGTCTCATGTGACCAACTTTCATTTCTAGGTTTTGAATCTTTTTATGCCTTGTCTGCTGTATTAAAGAGCCTTCTAAGTATTTAAAAAAAAAACACGTCACCTCTGTAAACATATAGGCATGGATTGCTAATAGCATGGAAGGAAATGGAAAACAGGAGATATAAACAAAGGAGAGGGAAAGCATCCTCACCCTTTCTTTAATCTCACCACCAGTATGTAATCTACCAGATATATTTTAAATGAATCCTACAGAAAATAAAAGGATGAGGAAAGAAAAAAAAAAAAAGACAGCAGTTTTTCTAGCTAGTATGCCACTATGTACTTCTCTGCAGTTGGACCAAGGAATTTTCCTATTTTTTTAAAAACCATAGAAGGGATTCAATGCACAATCATAAGAATAATTGTGCACCTGTGTTTATACTTATAAATGCAAAGATCTACATTAAATGCACGATGTTTGACTTTTTACCTACATTACCAACTACACACTTGTATATATGAAATATATTATTTCTGCAGAGTGTATTAAGTTTAATACTTTAATATTTCAATTCATGCATATTGTGGCAATTACACTGGAAAAATATCTAAATTCATGACCTTTGCTTAATTATATATGTCAATCATAAAATCTTATTGCAACATTGTTTCTGTGATTTTATACACAGACATTCATAGGGTTCCCATACTGGAATGAACAAGTATATTTAAATGCAAATTGAACATATGAACGTCTGACAAGCTAAATAAACAAGATATAAAACAGATAGGGGTACATAGGTACAAAAAAAATCAAGATGATCAGTCTTCTTAAGTCAGAGGTGGGGAGCCTTTTTTTGGGTTGGGGGCTGCTGACCCACAGAAAAGTCAATCAGGACTCAGACAAGTGAGAAGCAAAAAACAAAACAAAACAAACCACATTCCACCCTCACTGATGTAGCTCCCAACTGAGGAGAAAGACACTCCCCACATTACCCGTGTCTACCAGAACCTAGGGGGGCCCAGCCTAGTAGATTTTGTGTGCTCCAGCCCTCTGGTAGGGCAGCAGGGGGGGCTGGAACATCAGTGCAAGCTCCCCAATGGCGGGGTGGGGGAGGAGGGGCAAGAAGGAGGGCTCAATCTCAGGAAGTGGATCCAGGCAAGCCAGGGGCCACATCCAGCCCCTGGGCCTGAGGTTCCCCACACCTGCCTTAAGTTCATCCTATGTGTTAAAAGTTAAGAAAATTAACCTCCCTTAACTTCAGTATCATTAAACCATTCATACTCACTATAATTTAGTGCAGTGATCACCAACCAGTAGATTGGGATCTACTGGTAGATCTTGAAGCCTTTGGTAGGTGATCCTGACAGGTTTGGCCCGGAGGCTGTTAAGTGCTGCCACTTCATCTATACCTCTCAGCTCTGCCACGCTGCTCCTGCCCCCTCTGCCTTGGAGCTGCCCTTGAGCCCCAAGAGCCTCTTGCTTGCTGTGCAGGGCACAAGAAGAGGAGAGGGTGCTGATGTTAGGGTGCCCCTCCCTCTACCCAGTACCCCATCTCCACAGAGCAGAGGGGGGCAGGAATGGAGAGAGTTTGCTGCCTGCTTTTGGGAGTGATGCAGGGCCTGGGGATGGGTGGACCTGCCTTAGCCCCACTGCACCAACACCCAGAAGCCACCTGAGGTAAATGGTGCTTAGCTGGAGCCTGCATTCCAAACCCCAGCCCCAGTCCTGAACCCCTCCTGCACCTCAAACTCCTGCCCTATCCCTGAGTCCCCCTGCACCCAAACTCCTTTCCAGAAACTGCACCCATCCTGCACCCCAACGCCCTGTCCCAGGCTCAGCTAAGAACCCCTCCCACACTCCAACTCCTTTAGCCCAAGATCAGAGACCGCATCCCCCTCCCTCACACCCCAACCCTCTACCTGATAAAAGTGAGTGAGGGTGGGAGGATGGAGTGAGCAGAAGCGGGACCTTGGACAAGGGGCGGGAAGGAGGCGGGGCAAGAGTGTTTGGGTTTGAGATGGATCCTGGATTGAATTTAAATTCAAAAAGTGATCTCATGCTTAAAAAGGTTGGAGACCACTGATCTAGTGTGTTTTTTCCTTATTTTCCCTCTAAGTTTAAGAGCATCAGAAATCATAGGTCTTTTTTTTAGCAGGTAACTAAGTAATACGAAGCAGTGGGGGGGGGGAGGGGGAAGCAATACTTTTCATTAAGTTTTAAAAAGCCACTTTTGAGATAGAAGTAACAATGGGATATGTAAGCCCCAAAAGTAACTTTCAGAAGGCTTTAAGGACATGTAAACTAGGGCTTAAAACTGAAGAGCTCTCTCAAATAGCTGCTAAAACATACCTAGGAATAGATGGAGCACACAATTGTGAATGTGTACTAATAACTGTCAAACATATCTTCCAATGCACCAACTGTTTTACAGTCACGGAATTAGAATGAAAAAGACTGTATAAAGAAAAAAAAAGGTTGGCTCTTCATCTTGTTTCGAAATTAATTGTAGAGGACAGTGAATCACCATTTTTCATCTATATTTGACAGTTAAAAACCAGAAGTATTTTCAAATGTCAGTAGTCATGAAACTAAGATATATAATTCATGGACTCCAACCAAGCATGCTTGTCCAAACTCTCTCAAGGGCTCATGATAATAGTGACTCAGCTAAAACACTGTTTTAAATACTGCAACGTACTGTGTTAAAGCACACACTAAAAAAATTGCCTCATTTGTTACTGAGCTGTCATTCAAAACTGTTATTCTTCTACATAAGCACATAAACATACCTGCTATTCTGGGCAGAGGAACTACTGATTCTATAAAAGATATACTTCTATACCACTCAAATTCACCTAAAAGATAAGTATAAGCAACTTCAACCAAGTGTTTGTTACATATTTTTTTTACTGACCATTACTTCTGTTAAGATTTTATGCTAAAAAGCAATACGCTTTCTAATTAGAAATTTAGCCCACAATTACTTTATAGTGGCTTTCAAAACACCATTTGACAGGATTTATCTCGTAGCTCTGCTTAGAACAATTGTTTTGCCTTTGGCAAACAAAAAAAATTGTTTCCTTCCACTGTCAATAAATAAGTGCATATTGTTGCATTTGCTTTGCATAAGTGTGCTATTAAAAGGTATTTCATGTGAAATATTGAGACATATCCTGGGTCAGCAAAAGGTACTTTCATAATTACTGTGTATACACAAAAAAATGTTACAGACATAAATTTTAAAAATTAGAAAATCCTAAAATTTAGGTTACCCATCCAACCTTAATTCTGCCCTCTTACGAGTATGCATTACAACACAGTCTTTGATTACATGGTCACATACTATTTTTAATAGGACTATTGTCTCATTCAGCGCAGAGAGGATGGACTATGCTCACAGAATGAGGCAGCTGTTTAATGCTACTTTTTATCCTCTGAAGGAGGCTCCTGAATACTAACCAAAATCTTAAGCGAACAAAGAATTGTTAATTCCTCATGGTCTTATCTAGGGTGTTCATCACCATAGTATTTAATTGACTAACAAATGAATTTATCTCCATTGTGAGATAATAGCATTATCCCCAGATGGGGGAATTAAGAGAAGAGATTTGCCTAACACCATACAAGTGATTTAGCAGTACAGATAGAATTATGATTCCTGACTAGGATGTAAATATTGATCAAAACAGTTAACCAGGCGTCAGTAAAACAGGAGCCGAGGCTGGCGCAGCTGGGATCCAGGACTGCAGGAACCAGGGCTGTGGTGCAGCTGGGACTGCTGGGCCCGGGGCCTGTTTGCCATGCAGCCCCACCTGTCTCCATGATCTGAGATTCTTGCCAGCTGCCTCCAAATGACTGGCAGTCTGGTTAACTGGTTACCAAGTAAGCATTCCTGTAAGTCTAATGTTTACTGGTTAACTGATTAACTTTTTACATCTCTATCCCTGCTCCTATACTCATACCTCCATGCTACATTATATTATTGACAGAGGTACAAAGCATCCACTTCATTTTCAGTGTGAGCACTCACCACTTCTGCTTATCAGGCTCCAAGTATTTCAAGTTGAGCACCCAGAAAATCAGAAATACATAAGCCGCCCCCTGGCAAAATTTTGGTTTCTGTGACTTGTGTAGCATCACATAGGAAGCAGAAGCAGAGATAAAACTATGTTCTCACATGGCATTCACCTGCCTTGAGCATGAGACCATCCTCTGTTTTCTTGAAGCATCTTCCTTTCTTCTCTATCTTCCCATTTCTGCAACAAATGAGGCAGAGATCATATAAAAAGGACTCACATAAGCCTCATTCATTCTTCAGCAATTAATAAAGTAATGCTTTTGTAGGAAAAAAAGGTATGTAATCATGTAATTAAAGACTACTATAATGTAAGAGGGCTGAATTAAAATTACATGGACAGCCTACATTTATAGACATGTTTCAGCTTTTAGCTGTTTAACTTTATACTCTAAATAATATTTTAACAGTTGTGTGTATGTAATTTCTTATTACCTTTATTAAAAACAAAATTACATGCAAATATTAAAATCTCACTATTGTTTCACCTGCAGAATTTGAAACTTAAGCCTTCAAAGGTGCACAGGTTGAGCTATAGGATTAGTTATTACCTGGCAGTGACAGTAAGTTGTTATGCTGGGTGATATGGGAGATTCTCTGGGTCCAGAACATAGAGTAAGGGAAAGGAACCTAGTCATCTCTTTCCCACTTCCTGGGGAGGTTATCTGCTTCCTGGCTAAATTCTCCCTAAGCTGCAAGGCCACTCCATGCTGGAGCACAGAGCTGCAGCAGGGAGAGGTCTCTCCCCCCAAAGACCGCAAGCTGCCAGGGAGGGTGGGGATGAGCCCCTTCCCTATGTCCCTAGTATCAAGCTGCAGTGACAAAGGGAAGGGGGATGATCCTCGCCATCCCCAACAGGAAGTCAGATCAAGTAAGCCGAAGCCCAACCTCTGACCCCCTCCCCCACCTTGACCGCCCCCCAACCCTGCTGGCCACCAAAGGGCATACCACCAGTTCAGAGCCTCTATCCCCCCCAGCACCACAACCCTCACCCCAGAGCCTACCTCCTGCACCCTAAGCCCCTCGTCCCCAAGCCCCACCCCAGAGTCTGCACTATCAACCAGAGCCCTTGCATCCCAACTCTCTGTTCCAATCCTGAGCTCAACGCCAACTTAGACCTCACACCCCCAGCCAGTGCTCTCACACTCCTGCACCCTAATCCTCTGCCTCAGTCCTGAGCCCCATACCACACTCAGAACCCCTTGGTCTCACTCCCATCACATGAAATTTTGTTACATGTGCCAATTTGAAGGTGATGGGAAAATTCAGAAGAAAAAAAAAAAAGAGGAACACTGCTCCCTGGACTCCTAATGCAGCATGTGCTGTAGCTATTTAATTTGACATGTTAATAATACCAACAACAGAAGAGAAATGTGGATTTGAAAAACGTTTCTCAGACAAATCTGAATGGAATTTGAGGGTCTAAAGAAAAGAACATTTCCCCAGCTCACAGCTCTGTCCCAATCAAATTTCAAAGGGCTGCCTTAGACAACATAGATTTTACAGCTTCTCAAAAACAGGTTGCATGGGGTTTTATTACAGCTACGTTTTCAGCAAAATCACTCGACAGCTCCTCCCTCCTATGTTTGTGTTCATTATAATTTTTATAGAACTATAGGGCTGGAAAAGATAGACTCGAGAGGTCATCCAGTGTTTCTCAACCTTTTTTTTTACAAAATACCTTCCCCCCCCAAAAAAAAAGACCTCCTATACCTAGTTTTCAGACACACAATTTTTTTTCTACCTTTGCAACATATTTGTTTAAACTTAATTGTAGCCAGGTGAGCGATGAAATTTTTGAGTGTAAAAAGTATAAAAATAATTAAGCACTGTAAAACTTAAAACAAAAAGTCAATTCTCTCCAAATTTCAGTTGTGTTGATGACTTCTCTTGGCTACTCCTAAGGATACTCCTACCACTTGTTGAGAAATACTGATCTAGTCCAGTTCCCTGCACTCATGGCAGGACTAAGTATTATAGTCCTGCTTATACTTTATGTTTATACAGGAATAAGTTGCCTCTTTTCAGGTCTCTCAGAAAATGTGATTTCAATGGACTAAGAAACTGAGACACCAAGTCTTCTCTTAGATATCTGGACTCACTTAACATGGACACGGACACACACTTCAACAATAATTCAGAATTATCTGCCCACTTTTGTATGAATAAAAGAGCAACACTGCTTTGTGGAGCAAAGGCTGACTTCCTGTATTTGAATCACACCCAATAAAATAGGACTCTAGCCTTATTTTTTGGGCGCTACTGCAATGCATACGTTTATTAATATTAAAAATGGTGGGGAGGTTACATGGGGGGGGGGGGGGGGGGGGGGGCCGA